TCTTATGCGATTTGACGCCGTTAGACTATTTCGTAAGAGGCTATGTCCAGTCTATGGTCAATGCCAACAAGCCAGCGACGATTGATGGTGGCCATGCAGAAAATATCGAGTCCTATACATAACAATGACAAACGTACTATCACAGGAATAAAGMATTTCAATGATATCACAAACCGTTTTGTGGGGCTCTTATTAAAWAGCCCGTTGTGAAGTGTTATAATTATAAAATATTTTCATAAAATTTATTAAATTCTCTAATTGAAAGGTAAGTGGCTTAATTATTATTTTTCTATCATACAAATAATATTATCTTCTTTACTGACTTTTTGATGGCCTACGTAAATCATTTACCTATTTAATGAAAATTTAACAATATTTTTTTTTTGTGATTTTCGCTTAATTCGTTTATTACGAAGTCCAATAAAATCAATTTATTTGCAACAACAAAAAACTCACAGCAGATTGTTTCTTTTATTTCTTTGCCTACAGCGATTTCCTTTTCTACCGTTTTTCTTATTATTATATATTATAAATATGAGCTGCCGATTGACAAAATCAACAATCACGAAAATTTCCAAAAAAAAATAAATAAATAAATAAATAACAACAAAACTAAGAAATGTGGCAATAACATAAAAATGGCCAAAAAGTTGGAAGCACGAACTAAATTAAGCAAAAACATGCAGGAAATTAGTTACAGTTACTACCACCAATATTATAATGCAGCATTCGTAAAGATTAACAATGCTACAACAACAAAGCGGTTACTTTTTATTATAACRTTTATTTGTGGCAATTATTTGCAATTTTTATTTGCAATGAAACAATTTTTTTTTTTCAATTAATTTATTTACTTTGTTGAATATTTTGGCAATTGTTGTTGTTGTTATGCTTTTATGTATGTACTGTTTCTAGTTTTATAGTGCATTGTTTTGTACACTTTTACCGCCAAACAAGCATTTAATTGAATTTAATATTTTTGAAGAAATAATTAATTTTATTTATTTGTTGACTTTTGGTTGCTTTTTGTTCACATACTCATAACGGTGAATCGCACATTTGCTTAAATGTAGCTTTCGCTTTTTATGATTTCATTACTTYTTTCTTATATTTAATTTTTAATGCAATTATCCCATTTAATATTTCTCCTTCTTCAATTTAATGCAATTTGTTTGCTAAGCTGAGCACTGCATTGTTGTTTGGAACGTTTGCTAATTGATTTTAACTGCAACGGATTACTGTGCTRTGAATATAGACAATTTTATACCTATAAACTTATGTATTGATTTAAATACTGTTGCACGGTTCATTGAATTCTGCAATAAATATTATTACTCATACGCCACAGCGTACGGACTGTGTGAAATAGAAAGTCGCCGGCTATTGAAAAGTTCAAYACTCATTTGCTGATTTATATTATTATATATTTGTGTGAGCGTGCAGGGGTTGAATTGTAAATTGCATTTATTTTTTATTTATATAGAAATAAATTAATAACGAGCGTGTCTTAATAAGAAATCGCATTCATTCATATTCCCACAATAACTAAGTGCCATGACATTGTCTACTACTGTTTTGCTGTGACTACAAGCTACACATAATTTATTGTTGCATTATTTCAGTTTATCATTGAACGATAATTGTCTAATAATAATAATACTTAAAAGTTTGAGTAATGGTCTAGAATTAATATTTTCTTAGAAATATTATTATTGGCAGTTCATACAAACATACGTGTGTGAACTATGACTAATGAAAATGATGATAGGAAATTGTTATTTTTAATATTTTATCATTGTTGGTGGTGAATAGGTTATCTTTTTTTCTATAAATAAGCAGCTACAAAGATTATATTGAAGGTTTATGCACCTGACGGTTATTTGTAATTCCTAAAACTAAATTTGATAGATATGGAGTTAACTTAAATAAAATATCAGGATTAAGAAACGTGCTGAAATTTGGTTCATTGTCTGTCCGTCTGGTCAGACTGTAACTTGATTAAAAATTTAGATATCTTGATGAAACACGTGTTGCTTTTTCATAAGAAAGTTGGTATTGTAGGWGGAATAAATCAGATCATTGCCATACTCACAAAATGCTGAAATAGCTGAAAGCCTCTAAAAGTCCAAATCTAGGCACTAAATTATGATAAAAAGCTTTAATTTGGACTCTGTGTCAAAAACAAAAGTGTTTGGACCCCCGCCGGCTGGTTAATGTGATATATTTCCAAACCAATAAATCAATAAAGCTTTCCGATAAAAATTCGCTTCAGCTTTACTTTGACCACTGTTAAAATGGGTAATATTAGAAATAACCATGTTCACTCCCTCTATAACGGTTATGTTGAAAACTATTAAAAGAGCGATAACTCTCTGAATAAGCCCTGATATTGGGAAAGGGTTTTTTTGGAACAGGTGTAAAAATTGTACAGGGGGCATGCACCGCCCATTTTTATATGAAATTCCATTTCTCAGGAACTACTTTAGCAATTTCAACTATATTGTGTAAGGTTATCCAAATATTCCCAAACATAGATTTTCTCTTTACATTATACAAATCAAACATCACTGAAGTTACCAGAATAAATCTTTTCTCAAATAGTGCCCTCAATGTATTTMATCTCACGTSCRAAAATTGCCGAAATTCCAYTTTGWCTTTTCAGGGGCCYAGGCACCAAAWATGTCCACCCCARTGCATATAAAATTGAAATTCGGAGAGAATATTTGGCTAATAATCCTTGCGCCAAAAATAGGTAAAATC